AAAAACCTAATTCACCCGTGTTCCATCAACTAATTTCCACTAAACTTTCCACTTGTATGTCTATAGACTCCTAATCATCTTTGTTGCTCTTCTCTGCACTCTTTCTAGAGTCCCCACATCTTTTTTACATCATGGCAACCAAAACTGAATGCAGTATTCAGAGTGTGGCCTTACCAAGGCATCATGAAGTGGTATTAACACTTCACGTGATCTTGATTCTATCCCTCTGTTTATGCAGCCTAGAACTGTGTTTGGCTTTTTTGGCAGCTGTTGCAACAGCTTGCCTCCAGAAGTTGTGAATGCCTCAACGCTGGATGTCTTTAAGAAGATGTTGGATAGCCATTTGTCTGAAGTGGTATAGTTATAGGCAGGGGGTTGGACTAGAAGACCTCCAAGGTCCCTTCCAACTCTGCTATTGTATTGTATTGTATCCTCAGGCACAAATGCAGGGAGGGGAAGAAGGCCAGGCAGTTGTGAGACAAAGAGCAGGCCTGTTTCACGCTAGAGAAGACAACTATGAAAACTTTGCAAGTGGGGGGTCGGCAACCCGGTGTTTTCTGGCCTCCTACCCAGATGCAGCCTTGTCAGACCCAATTTGAAGCCTGCACGGGCAATTTACCTAATCCTTCCACTCAAATGTTTCCTGGCGGGGGAGGGGGGGTTGTCTCCGAAACAGCTGCTCTCTCAGCTTCTCTGACTTCTGCTGTCTAGGAAAGCTATTAAGCCAACAGAGCTGGTAAGTAGGCAAAGAGCCTAATGCCTGGCACTTGAAATTCCCAACGAGAATAAGTGGTTCAGGGCTTATTTAGTCAGCACTTCTTCTTTTTTAAATTTTCTGGAATGAGTCCAGCGAGGAGGACACATTCGTTGCTGATTAAATCTCTCTATGCCAGTGTTTCTCGACCTTGGCGACTTTAAGTCTACAGGACTTAAAGTCGCCAAGGTTGAGAAACACTGCTCTATGCGGTTGTTTTCTTTTTTTAATATAAACGTGTTTGACATGTTTATTGTTTTTGCACTTTTTTTCCCCTGTATGCCACCTGGAGTCACTTATTGTGAGATGGGCAGCTATATCATTTTTATCTATCTACCGTATTTTTCGGACTATAAGACGCACCGGAGCATAAGAAGCACCCATGATTTCGAACAGGTAGGTAGATTTAAAAAAAACGTTTTTACACTCTGCAGGCCTCCCAAACCCTCTGCACACCTCATTATTTTCAAAAAAGGGGGGCATGCAGAGGGTTTGGGAGGCTTGTAGAGTGCTCCTGGGGGATGGGGGGGAGGGAAATGAACAAAAACGGTCTGTTTTTCCCCCCCCATTTTTTCCCTCCCCAGACCACAGGAGCACTTTGCAAGCCTCCCAAACCCTCTGCATGTCCATTTTTGCAAAGGGAGTGGGGTTTCAGGAGGCAAAAATGCTGTATTCGGTGTATAAGACGCATCCAGATTTTCACCCTCTTTTTTGGGGGGGAAAGATGCATCCTATACTCTGAAAAATATGGTATATAGAAACGGCTGTGTGTTTGTATGTTCCAGCATAACTCTGGAATTCCTAGAGCAATTTCAATGAAACTTGGTACACAGATGACGTACTCTCTGGAAACAAATACCGTGGGGGTAAGACAGCCCTAAACCCCTTGGTGTGTGTGTTCTGTTAAGATACAGCCTGTTGTGCCTTCAAATAGATTCTACCGTACTGCCGTAAAATGCCTTCTACTCTGCAGCACAGTGGAGTTGCCATGGTAATGGCTTCCTAGTAATCCACAAGGGGGCTCCCTCTGGTAAGAGGGAAAATCCAACATTAGAAATTATGTTTGGTCTAGACATTTTCCCCCTATAAATAAATACCCGGGCAATGGCAGGTTATTGGCTAGTAAGTAAATAAATGAATAAATGAAAAGGAAAAAGGAACAGAAAGTTGTCCTAACTATCCCTCTTAAAGGTCTTTTCTCCAAGTGGCTGTGCTTTGGAAGGCTAGCTGACCGGGTCTTTTGCCGATGCTCTTCCTGAATTACGGTGGTGTCTGGGAAACTGGCCTCCATACTTAGAAAAGTATGTCCATTGTAAAGTGCAGATAGAGAACATCTATTGTATTTTCCTCTATTCATTTTTATACATAGTGACGAAAGAACTTTTCCTCATAAAGAAAAGAATTTTGAATGCATGGCACACTTAATTAGGAAGTAGCCAAGAACTGTATTGTTTATGAATGTACGCACAGGCATAGGACCATCTCTCATTGTACACTGATGTGGTGCAGTGGTTAAGTGCAGTATTGCAGGCAAATTCTGCCCACAGCCTGGAGTTTGGTCCTGATGAGGCTCAAGGTTAACTCAGTCTTCCATCCTTCCAAGGTCGGTAAAATGAGGACCCAGATTGTTGGGGGCAGTATGCAAACACTTCTACATTGCAGACTGCCCACAGGGTGCTGTATATGTCTAAATGCTGATGTTATTGCTATTGCTACACTCAACTCTTCTTTGGTCTGCAACTCTCCCAGGGATCCCACATTTCCACTCAACATCAAGAGAAGACCTCAGGACGGAAATCTTTACACTGGACTTCTTCAGGAGTAATGCTGCTACGGAGCTTTCTCCTTCAAAGACCATCAGATAACGTCACTTTCCCTTGGAGAAATTACCCATCCAATTATTCTTCCCAGAAATTGAATAGAGAGTTTCCAAAGGTCTCTTGTGCTTGGATCTGTACTAGACATAGAGTAGATGCTCAGAAACTCCGTGGGGCTGCTGGACATCTCCTTGGAGCTGGGGTTCCCAAACTTGGCAACTTTAAGACTTGTGGACTTCAACGCCCAGAATTCTCCAGCCAACTATGACTTCTGGGAGTTGAAGTCCACAAGTCTTAAAGTTGCCAAGTTTGAAGACCTCTGCCTTGGAGTCTTGGAGTTCCCACTTTAAAACAACAGTTGGAAATTACAACCTACCCCAGGAGAAGGATACATATTTCCAAATTCAAGCAGACTTACTCTGATGCCAGTATCGTTTCCTGCGACTCTTCCTGGCTTTCCCTCTTGAGAACAGGGCATCCATGCGCTTCTTCCATGCCGTGTGGCTCTCTGCATCCTTGACACCACAGCGAGGGAGACTCATGTGATGGAGAGTGATGGCATCCAGGGCGCCACTGAGGGGCAGGTGAGAAATCCATTGAAATTCCCTGTAAGAGTTCAAGAAGTGGGATGGAAGTCGCACGACGCTCCTTCGTTTAAGCCAGTATTTCTCAACCTCAGCAACTTGAAGATTCACAGACTTCATGGCTGGCTGAGGAATTGAAGTCTACACATCTTAAAGTTGACAGCATTGATTTGAAGACATCCAGATTTGGTTGAAAGATGGGTGGCTATATACCGTATTTTTCAGAGTATAAGAGGCACCTTTCCCCCCTGTTGGTGTGTCTTATACATCGAATATACCCATTTTTGCCTCCCAAAGCGCCGAAAAATGGGCCATTTTTCACAAAACAAAGGTGTTTTTGCCTTCCCCCAGCCCTGCTGAAGCCTGCAGAGTGCTCCTGGAGGCTGAGGAAGACAAAAACTTTTTTTTCCTACTTACCTCTTTGAAATCTTGGTACGTCTTATACACTGGTGCGTCTTATTGTCCGAAAAATACGGTAAATGTTTTAAATAAATAAATTGAGAAATACTGATTTAGCCCTTGGTTTTTAAACACACAAATTCCCCTTTTTATGGCCTTTTAGTCCCTATCTGGATAGAGTCACAACTGGATAGAGCTGAGCATTTCCTGGCCGGATACTCTTCCTGACACCTAGGCAGAATTCAGAAGAGATATTTTTTCTTTGCGCCCTAGGAGAGAAACGTCTGCCGCTACCTAGAATTGAACCCTCAACCATCCAAATGTGAGGCAAGTGTCTTTACCACTAGGCCACCATGCCGTTTTTAAGCATTTGCCACTATAACCGTACAAAACATGAAGCTGGTAGCAGGGAAAGGAAATAAAAGATTTAAGAAAGAAAGAGGGAGCAGTGGAAGATGGCATGAGTCCAGGAGGCAGCATTGGCATTCGAGGAATCTACCAGCTGGGTCAAAACTGCTGCATTGGTCATACTACAAAAGAAACTAAGCCCATACAAGGGAAACCAATAAGCAGAACCAGATGTCAATGAAAGCTGGCCAGCTGCATGGTCTAAGCTAACAACAGACTGCATAGGAAGGCCTGGGATTTAGGGATTAGTTAGATATTAAACAGAGATGGAAGTCAATAACTAAAACCAGCAAGAGAAGAATGAGAATCACAGGCTTACTTTATGGCATCGGGGAATCCTGCTAAGTCCGGGACTTGATGCACAGACTCAAAATAGCCATATTTCTCCAGAAACTTCTAAAATCAAATCAAAATAAATAATAATAGATAAGACACTAGGCTTTATACGAAAAACTAACAAACCAACCCCTGGCATTCTTTTATTATTTCCTTGTAACAAAACCCACAATCTTTCTACGCAATGGTTGTGAAAGTATTTACATACTTCGTATGCTGAATATTCTTGGTCTGTTTTAGAAATTATAGTTAGTTCCCTCTTTTAAATACTCAGTTCAAAGAATATCTATTTGTAGCTGTATGCCTCCCACTTCAAACCCTGTTTGTGCCTGCTGAGGAGCCAGTTTCAATTCTGAGTTGTCAGATTTCTTGTAGTTATTGTATCTGCCAGAGAAACATCTTTATTCTAAAGTCTTTGTCTCTATCAGCTCTGTTTTTCCCAGCACTCCCTTTCTTTATCAGCTTTTGATTCCTAAAACAAATTAATTCCAGACTGAGCAGAGCAAAAGGAAGAGAACTTCCTTTTCCAGCCCTATTATTCTCCAAAGACCAGATAATCAACAGAGACATCACCACAACAGAAGACCTGATAATGCAATATCTGCAATATGTACCATGACTATATTTTTCTTGGGGAAAAAAAAGGAGAAGCCTGAAAAAGGAGGAAATCTGAAAGAGATTAATAAGGGGGGGGGGGCCTTAATTGTTAATGTTTATGCTTTAGCGCAGCAGAAAGTGCCAAATTACAGGTGATTCCCCCATCTACACTTTCTTTTAATTCTCTTGTGTGGAATGAAGGTGAATTTTTACTGATGCAGAAACGGAATGTTTGGGAAGGGAGTGACATTTGTTCCATATTTGTCAGAGGTTTTTTTTAGAAACTAAATGAAAACAACAAAAGCCATAATCAAACATTTCTATAAGATCTGGAAACAATAGCAGAATGGAAGGGTTAGGGTTCGGGAAGGGCCTGAAAAACACTGTGTGGAGGGGGGGGCGGGGGAATGCCATTTTCATCAATCCTGCAATGGGAAGAAGAATTAGTTGTTACTGACCCTTTCTTCCTATCAGTTTCAAAGTGCAATTGACAAGGCTTTTTACCACTATGTCAATATCTCTGGGCGGCGATCAGAGGCAAATAACACACACAATTATGTTTCCCTTCCACTTTTTGTTTTCCTTCCTGGCATGTTACAATAGACAAAATGGAGGGCTTACTGGCGAATGGATGGATGGATGGATGGATGGATGGATGGATGGGTTGGGTGGATGGATGGGTTGG